AATATATTAGACCTTCCATTTAACTGTGAAACGATAACCCGCCGAATCCTGCGATCTCACCTTTGAATCATCTCGTATTTTTGTCCCGATGATGACATCGCCCCGACTGTCAGCACGCGAGACTTACGTATGAACGTCACGCACGATTCGTGGCCGCTTTTTTCTTCCAACCAGGGGAGAAAGGAACCTGATTACCCATCAGCCACGAGAAAGTGGATTACCTCGGTTAATCGCATTCCACGACCGCGAACAGTTTCGCGATACTCGGGACGGAAATTGAGTTATTTGCATGACGGTCGATCGATCGTCGATCTCAAAAAGATAATCCAGCCTATCCTCTTTTCTCGTCGATCAACCGTTCGTCGTCGCAACCTCCTTTTCTTTTCGCACGTTATAATGCTTCAACTGATAGACGGCAATTTATGGATGTGTATACACGAGAAGGAAGAGGGAACGAGAGATTTCTTCGCGTTCAAAACAACCGATAACGTAACGAAGAGAGACTTCTGACGGGGGATCGAATCATTGAATTAGAACGACCCGTTGACTCCGCTCTTTCAAGACCTTGTTCTTGATCATACACATGGGAAACTTCTTACGGAGTGTAATTTTAACTTGAAACATCGTCGAGGTTGCCACGCAAACATGCAAGCGTTTTTCATCTAACCGGATTTTATCTTCAATTGGTACTTCGAATAAGTCGTTTGTTGGTAATTCACAGCAGTTTGGATTAAATCATTTTATTTTAAAAGTAGTTAGCATCTAGTGTTTTTCAATCGAGACGTAGAATATTAATTAAATTTAAGAGATTTTTAATTAAGCAAGCTACGAATCTAATTCAAACTCTTACGATCTATCTGTACTATAATAATTGAAGATTATTAATCACAATAGGTGATTGTTCAATTTTTTAACGTATATGAGTAAGCAAGGTCGTTCAAAAAAGCAAAAGAGGAATATGATAATGAAGCGATATACATACTCTGTACAAATATTCAAAGTAAACGTGTTATTCTCCTTATTCTCCTCGGATTAACGAATTAACGATGAAATATTTGGTTCAACAATTAGCATCCTTAATCTCAGGTAATTCGAATTTTCTCGATTCTTCTTAATTGAAATATCGCTGCGTTTCCTGGGGCGAGGAAAAGAACGTTTCATTTCATCGCGAGTGAAACGGAACCGGGAAAACGAAGAAAAAATTCTGGCATGAGTCACTCGAACTAGTCGTGTGACGATCGCTCTGTTATTTCCTTTAACGCCTTCGCCACTCGTTCCAGACTGGCAGAGAAAAGAAGAACGCTCGTGGCCGTTTTCTTATTCGTCGTTGTACACCGCTGAGAACCGGATATTAAAACGGAAAAAATAACGTGAAAAAAGAAAAGAAAAAGAAAAAGAATCGAATGTTGCGTAACCAAGGATATATCTCGGATATATTCGAACGTATATATGCATGTATCTGTTACTTCAGCCTTTATCTCTTTCGAGATGATACGAGTGTAGGTGATAGATCGTGTTGTTACGTCAGTTGGTGGCTAGTTTTAGCTTGTCTAAACACAAAGGTTTCTGCCTTTGAGTTAGAAGTAGCAGGCTACGTTGAAATAAACTTGGAGGAATTGACGCCGTATACATGGTATCGGAGAGTATGGAGTTATGGGGAAATTTATTTTTGGCTTAAGGAGAAAGGAAGGCCTGCTGCTAAAGGATATTTAGAACGAATCCTTATAAATCCCCTTTGACTTCGTTTCAAAAATTCCGAAGGCTTTTGGAAATCTAAAATCGTATTAAGAGTGCAACACGTTAGAAATTTCTTGACCACAAGGAAAATAGTATATCTAACGATAAACGAAGCATTGTAAAACTTGATTTATAGAGAACACTACGCCCAAGCATGTCCTAGATTTTCAACAAAGCGTCGTAACACACTCGACTTCTCACATCATCTTTGCAAATTACAACACTCGACTCCACGTCAATGGCGCTTAACATTTGCCAGTTAATCGATCACACGAGACTGTCCATAAACTTTACGCAATCGAGCCGCAGGTGTCTCGTCTGGGTCACGCCAGGTCATACCGATATAAAAAAATCCGATCGAATCTTGCCAACGTAACCGCTTCGTTACGCGATTCCGTTTTCTCCTTCTTATCCTAAGAGGGAACTTTCTTTTGAACGCTCTATCAAGAGGTTTCATCGTGGTCCAGGCGCGCAAAGGGGGCCATCTCGTCTCTTGAGCGTTAATTACGATCGACACGGAGAACACGGTGATTCGTGCGAATCTTCGTTAACTATCGTATCGACCGATCGTCCAATTAACGTAAAAACCGATTGCGAGATTGCGTTTTTTTTTTTTTTTGCATCGCGCGAGAATAATAATTGGAAGTCGAGTCCCGAATTCGTATCCGAATCCATTGAGCGAATGGAAACCGGTGGACGTTGGAAATTGTCGTAAAGCCATATAAAAAAAATAACTCGAATCAATTCGAATCGCGATAAATCGTTTCTTCGTACTTCGTTGGCCAATCAACAGTGGCAATAAATTCTCTCGACCGTTTTTTTTTTTTTCGTTTCCATCCATTGAAAATTCACGAGCACATTGGTTGGTGACTACACCTGGTTCGACCGCTTCGATCACGAGTAAAAGAGCCAGACCTTCACCCGGATTCGATACGCGGCTCACGGTGTAAGCATAAGCACTCCGACAAGTGCTCGAACCGCTTTTTTCTTCATCTCTCTGTTTTTTTCTCCTTTTACGATTTTTTTCTCTCTTTGTTGTTCCCTCACTTTCTTGCCTCCTCCCCGTCCCCCGTCGTCGTCGTTCGCAGACGACACGTTGACACACGCGGTAAGCAGGCTTTGAGTCACGCTTTAGAAATTCCACGACGAGCGGATTACGCGTGTAACGCGCCATATTCGAGCGGTACGTGCACCGCGTGCCGATTACACCAAACTCCATTGATTAAGCGCCGCCAGAAACACGAGCATCTTTTCTTTCGAATCGACCGATCGTTCGATCGTGCGTGAGTGGAACAAGACGTAGTTTTCCCGATTATATCGAAAAAAAATTCTTGAAACTCTTGACTGAAAATCATTTCGTTAAATTAAGAATGGATCGCTCGAAAAGTTTTCGAGTTCTCAAATCTATTTTTATAATTTGAAACTCTCGAAACTTGAATGAAGAAAAATTTACGAGAATGTTGCGACAATATTTGTTTATCTTTGTTTAATGATAACGATAATGCAATTGCGTTTGTATTCAGAGTTTAGACTTGTTTTAATTGGACGAGAAGTCGAAGTTAAAATTTCAATTCTCGACAATATAGATATCTTTTGGAAAAATGAAACGAGCATCCTGGATTTCATAGAGTTTTGAAATGTCACAAAGTTTCGGATTCAAGTATTTTAAAAATCAAGTCTCAATCCATTTGCGATATAAAACGATTTAAATTTGTTCTCGATTTTTAAAATGGATCGGTGGAGAAAGAAATATAATAGCAATTCTTGGCGTATTAGGCTTGGTAGAAAGGTAGTATCGTAAAAGAGAAATCGTGCTTGATCGCGGGAGAGATAATTGGAATTTCAAGACGCGGAGAATCGTTTTAAATTTTCATCGTTCTCGGTATTCAACGTTTGATTATTTTACCATTCCGAATTGTAAATGCTCGAATATTGGTGGAAAGATAGGTATTTGGAATGCGTGTATAATACAGAAATATCATCGGTATTACCATGATCCAATTAGAGAACCTACGGAATCACAAATGATAAAGATCGACGCTTGTTTTCAAGGAAATCGTAGATTCAACGAGGATGTTAACGTTCCTTGCTAACATTCGCGGAAACAGATTGTATGCGGAAGAGAGATATAAAATCCACGAGTTGTTTCACTTCATTTGCTATTAATTAACGTAAAAAGTAAAAAAATTAAGAAATCGAGTTTAAATAAGATGCTCGAATTGGTTTGCAAAAAATTCGAGGAATATCCTTTCTACGTGATTAAAAGATATCGATAGAAAAGAAGGTAAAAGGAGAAAGTATATATTCGTTTGCGAAAGCTATATACCGAAAGATACGACGATCGTAGATAAAAGATTAAACCGACAAGAGATTTCCTTTCTCCACGCGAACAGAACGTCTCACAAACGAATGGTCGATGATAACGAGACCAGACGTCGTGTTTTCGGTGCACGAAAGCCTTTGGAACAACTCGTTTGCTTTAGATCTGTTGAAAGAGAGAACGATCGTTGCATGTTAGCATGGGTATCCCTCGAACTAAGATTGATAAATTAAATTGGTGGCACGGTATTAACCTTAATAAACGTGATCACAGAACAACACTCGCGTCACTTTTCGTGGCATTTTATGATCGTGATAAAAATATCTGGCAGTCGGATAAAGAATAATTCGTTAATCATTTTTCATCGAATGCAATCTTCGCTCCATAAAGAAAGTTTTAATTTTTAAGATTTCTATCGTACATCTTGATTACCGTAGAATACGATTCGTTTTGTATCGATGTCGTGGCGAGTTCTATTTGAATTGAACTTTGATTCGTATTTGCGATCGTAGCAATTTTAACTCTTTTTCCTTTTTGCCGCTTTGATATGTGATAAATGTGAATCAGATTATATCGTAGGCTGTACGACGGGGTGACTGACCTTCGAATGCGGCATGATGACAAGCGATCGAGGAATGAGCGAAAGAGATGAAATCTTTGCGCTGAATTAATTCTAAGAATATTTATGAAGATTGGGGTGAAGGCATGAAGGCGCACATTGTAAAATTGTGAACGTGAAATTTTTAAGAATATCGTTTGATTGGAAACAATCAGAGTTCTTGAAAATCTGTTCGAGAGTTGTTGAATAAGCATTCATTCATTTAAGACTACACGGTGACAAACGTTTGTCTTATCGTACACTCTATTTTCAAATATTTTTTCCCGATGCACTTATGTTATGTATACATTACAAGTTGCGTATCCCGATTATTTTTCGTTACAGGTAAAACATTCTGCCAGTCTTGTAAGAAGAAGTGCAGCGGGGAGGTACTACGAGTGCAGGACAAGTATTTCCACATAGGGTGTTTCAAGTGTGCTCAATGTAACGCGAGCTTAGCGCAGGGTGGTTTTTTCGCGCGCGAGGGCTCTTACTATTGCACCAAGGTACTGGAAAATAAAAAATAAGAAATCAAAGCTACGTTAAAAGCGTTATAAAAACCGAGAAATCCTCGATTATATGGAGAGTGTAACGCGAATCGCGATAAATACATTCATTCTTCATTTTCCTTCTTTCATTTCAAGTTTTTTTTCTTTTTTTTTTCTTTTCTTAATTCGAAACATTCAGAAGGAACGATAAAACGGTGTATCACGTTGAACAATTTCAAAAAAATCTCGATAAAATCGCGCGTAAAATTCGTTACAAAGTTTTCTCGTTCCTCCTCGACCTCCTCTTGATTTTATCTCGATGCGCAAATAAACCATTGTACGCGATGACAAACGAGACTGTGAAGATGGTTGAGAAGGGTATATTTCACGCGTTCGCTCCGGGATGCGATGTCTGGCGAATCGCTCGTAACGATCCTGTGGGCTTCTTAATTTTTCAGGATTACAGGGAACGGTGGGGAACAAAGTGCGCGGGCTGTGGAGAATACGTGGAGGGCGACGTGGTCACTGCCGGAGACAAGCATGCCTTCCATCCCAACTGTTTCCACTGCCAACGATGCAGACAACCGTTACTCGGACAGGGGACCAAGGTTTCCCTCGTCCAAGGTGCGTGCTTCCCATCGAGATTATTAACATTTTGTTAAATCGTTTCAGAAAAAAAAGAACCATCGAAGCGGCACGATATTTCAAAAACCTAATCGTAATTTCTAATTGTAAATCATACTTGACCGAGGTTTAAATCCGGTTTAAACTCGAAAAGAGAACGAAGATTCGTTGGTTGTGATTCGATCGTCAGAATTGGAGTACCGGTAAACCTGTTAAAGGCAAATTACCACTTAGGTGTATCGTGAGCGAGGTTACGCTCACGTGGCCTTGTAACGATTACGCGGTGAACGCTTAAAAATACGCGCGCGTCGAAACGAGCGTATCGCAAGTTAAACTTGCTCCGTTTCGCTTCTCCTCATTGTTTCCTCGTGCAAATATTTATGCGCATCTGCCACTTCTGCCACCGTTGTTGTATCGATCTGGCCGGTCGAGGACAACGATAATGCCGCTTATTTTTAAACGATATCGCAAATAAGACAATACTACTGCGTGCAGCTTCGATTCTCGATCTTTGAACTCTTCGATTAGAAGGATGTGTACACGCGTTCCAAGAAAATTGAGACGATATCTCGAAACACGTTTACCGATTACCGTGAGAAATTGATCGATCGTATCGATCGGCGAGGCTGGAATCGGTTACTTATTTATACGCGAAGAGAAAACAACGAATGGACGAGCGCGAACGCTTCTCCTTTTCTACAAGCCGCTGGTATCGCGCGTTGCAACGATGAATCAGCCGCGGGATCGATGCTTCGTTTCTCGAATAAAAGACAATGTGGATGGAGCGTACGCGAATCGTCGACCGGATCTGTCCAATCTCAACTAACAGAGCGTTGTCTATAGGTCAAGCTCTTTGTCACCGATGCGTCGGTATCCCTGTCCGAGAGGCCTCGACGCCAATCGGGAATAGCTCCGCCACCCGAGGATCCGGAGACGGGCCCTCCGACCCCGGTGCCTGCGCTGGTTGCGGAAACCAATTACGAGAAGGTCAGGCTTTGGTAGCTCTCGATCGACAGTGGCACGTATGGTGTTTAAAATGTCACAGCTGTGACACCGTCCTTCATGGAGAGTATATGGGAAAGTGAGTGAAAACATCGTTTTATTCATCGGTTGTATTTGCAATTCTTTACATTATTGCGGGAAAATAATATCGAATTTCCGATTGAAAAATTAAACGAATTATTATGAATCAATATTGATCGTTGTCGATCATATTGAAATCATTCTTCGATAGAATTTATATCATATATTTTGTGATTGGAAACAGAAAGAATGCAAAATTTATGTAAAATTGTTCGTCTTAATTTCAGACTAGAAAACCGACGTAACTTTCTCACCAATTCATACATTCCAGTACATTTACTTATTTTTTATTTTGATCTTGGCGAAAGATTTCAGTTGAAAATCATATAACTCAAATGTGAAATTTTCATAGAATAAGTTACTTTTATATTTAATAGATGCTAGTCGAAAAAGAAACCCGAGAAAGTACGGTCTAGAAAATAGCTCGAGAAGCGTTGAAATTTCGCTGATCTTTGGTTGATAGTTAGAGCAAACGGATGGTCAGGGATTTGTCTAGATTAGAATCGGAGAAAGTTAGGACTCATTAATCCCGACCATTAGCGCTTATCTAAACCGTCTAACAAACACGCTTTTTTGAACAAACGAAATTCCTCGACTTTGATCGACAGAGACGGGGTGCCTTATTGCGAGAAGGATTACCAGAAGTTGTTCGGTGTGAAATGCGCCTATTGCAATCGTTACATCAGCGGAAAGGTGCTGCAGGCAGGTGACAATCATCATTTTCACCCGACTTGTGCCCGTTGCACCAAGTGTGGCGATCCTTTCGGCGATGGAGAGGAGATGTATTTGCAGGGCGCTGCCATTTGGCATCCCCGTTGTGGCCCGGGTCCTAGCGGACCCAACGGTATCGTGAACGGCCACGGAGAAGCTCACACGCCACAGCATCGAGAATCAGAACGGATTTCCAGCAGCGCATCGGAGATGCAGGTAAGATAGCGGGGATCGGAGGAAAGTCGGAAGTTCAATTAAGGTCATCGACTGTCCGACTACTTCCGTCGATGTTACGGTCACTTTCAATCGATCGATGAGCAGTCAAATAGGATTCGAATGTTAACCGCGATCTCTTTTTTATTTTTATTATTCGTTACCGCGAATTTTTCAATCGGAACTGGCCAACTGTGTATTTCAGTTTTTGTAAAATATTGTATCATACGTGTACATTCGTCTGTGTATAGATCACTGCATTTGTTTCATCGTTTTATTTTTGTGATTATTCTTAGCTATTTTAATATTCATTTTTTTCCCCCTGTAATCATGACAGTCATGGATCATTAAATACGTCGCGGAGGAAAGGTGTCATTAACATTTTCCGTACGGATATTCCGTGTAATATCTAATATCATCCGTCTCTGTGTATTCGACAACGCGTGATTAATTGCTTCAAATAACATTCATCTCGAACATCTCGAACATCGATATTCGCGTAATTAACGCGTGCACGATGCTGTCCACGTCCGCCAATTGCATTTTTCCGTTCAATTGCATCGTACACCGTTGATCGACCTAAATCGTGTCCGTGCGCATACTTGAATTTTGAAGTTTGCCATTCGATCGTAAAAAAAGGCGGCAGGAGGGAAATAAAAAGAGAAACAAGGGGGAGGAAAAAATAACCAAGAGGGAATATATTGCTCTCGAGCCAGCTCTGGCTCGCGAAATACGAAGCTCAGCTTGCATCGTGCTTATATTTGGACTGTTGTACGACACGTACTTTCATGTGAAACGTTTTTTGCTGCTCGGTTCATTTTTGTGTCCGTTGTTATACAGAGCAATTTAGAGTAGACCAATTTAGAGCCTACTTACTCTTCTTTTTTTTTTTTTTTTATATTCGTAACTAGCTTTGTGTATAGCTTCGATCCCATTGTATTCAACGATACATTATGTGGCTTTTAACATGCATATGTTCCTTAACACGTCGTATCTTTATCGCACGCTTCGATGCCCAAAATTTACAATATACATATATTATACATATACATATTTATATATATATATATACGTATATATTTTAACGATTTACCATTTATGATTTGATCTTCTTTATTATTTTTTTATTTTTATTGTTGCTTTCTTAATCGTTGTTTATCTTTTTTTTTTTTCGCACGATCATTGTGTATAGTTTTCATTGCGGTCACGCACGCCAAGCCTGAACGGATCACTCTGCAGCCCTTACAGCAGCCTCAGTCGCAAGGTATGCCATGTATCTCCTAGCACAGCCATTCTCTCAAGAGACACTTTTAATTATTTATGAAATATTCTGAAATATTTATGATCCGTACTCCTGATTTCATTCCGTAATAGCTAGCTTCGAAAATTTTTATAGTTTGAAATTTTTACATCGATGCTGCCCTGTAAATTTTCGATTATTCCTTCTATTTACTTTGTATACAGGAAGTGGAAATATTTTAAAAAAATGAAAAGATATTATTATTAATTTATTATTAATAAATATATGCTAAATAGAAAGTGAGATATAGCTTATATATATAATTTCTTTGGTTCATCTAAAAATGATGTTGAATTAAAAATTCTTCTAGATAAAATGGTCACGAATATAACGGTTTTAATAATTATTATCGATGATAAATTTCATCACTCGTTAAGATGACTCATTATGCTAATTTATTCTCAAATATTTAACGAAGCTAGCTTTCGCGATTACGAAAGAATTTTCAATGACATCTCGAAACAGTGGATTTCTTGAGAGAGAATGAAAGCGCGTTGAGTTTTTATATTCCTTTGCCGAGTAAATTTAGCTGTATGAGAGACGCTTTAAGATTGATCGAAAAAGAACAGCATGAGTTTAGCCGTGATAATATACGTTAATTGCCCCAGTATTACCCCGCGCGAACTGGAAGTCCCGGATTGATATTGCGAGAATACGGACGTGGTCCATCCGAAGATGTGTCTAGGATTTATACTTATTCGTACTTGACCGAAACGCCTACCCAAGGATACTTGAGACGTCCGATACAGCCGTACGACAAACCTCCGACTAGCCCACACTTTCATAGACCTAGCTGTAAGTAGTACTCATCTCTTTATTTCTCTCGAAGAAAGATCGAAAAATGGATAGAATTTTGATAAAAATTAAATCGAGCGAATCAATTTTGTAGAGTTCTACGGTCGAATAAAATATTAAAACACGAATCGGGATCGTGATATAGCGTGTCGCTATAACATGCGATGATTTTATTTTAGCGTCACGTTCGATAAGAAGCAGTGGCGGACGCAGCAGCCGATCTGGAATGCGTGCTCTGGTCGATGCTCTCAGCGAGACCAGACCAAAGTCACCGGCCAGTCAAGTAGATAATGACGAGCCAATAGAGTTGGCGCATTATCCGGACGCCATGAAACCTCCTCCTGGAACCAAACCGCCGATCGAGAGAGATGATTTTCCCGCTCCACCTTATCCTTATACAGATCCTGAAAGACGTAGACGATGGTCCGACACTTATAAGGTAACACGACGACACGAATTGCGATGTATTCCTAGGCTCTCTACGACATGTTTTATCTATGATTCGATACGATGCGATTCAGGGAGTACCTGCATCCGACGACGAGGACGAAGTGGATAACAAAACTTATATAAAGGAGGTGGAGGAGAAGTTGAAGAAAGAACAAGACGAGCTAAGCAAAATCGATACTGGAATAGCGAAAGTGTTTTTGCAAGATCGTGAAAAGGATCGAGAGAATTTGAGACACAGAGCCGCGAACGTTGATCCTAGAAATGCGTCGAGAACGCCATCAGCTGCCAGAGAACCGACTTATAGATTGCGATACGAGAGTCCAGTTGGCGCTTGTGAGTTATCATTCAAATACAATTCGTTCTTTAATCATTCCACTTTGATGATAATTGTATAAATTTAATTTTCGCGTAGCGCCTTCGAGAAACATAGATCACGCCAGACCGTGGGAGGACGATGATGGTTTCAGTTATAGATCTAGCGTAGGACCTAGTTACAACGGTAAGTTCCCTTTAAATGTGTAACCAATCTTGTCGTCACTTTATATTTATATTTATATATATATATATATTTCATGATCGTTTCATTAACATTAAGTGATAATCATCTCATACATGTCCACACGTTCGCACATAACACTAACATTTACCACTCTATCGTTTATTGTAACATCGGCTCGTTAAATTTCGAGACGATAATAGGGGTGGGGGTAACAAAAAAAATCCCTTTCATATTACAAAAAAAAAAAAGGAAAAAAGAAAGAAAGAAAGTAATATATAAAATAAAAAAATTAAAAAATCTCCTTTATCGTGGAACGGAACGTTGCAACATGCGAATCTTGCAGTGGAAGGGGTGATGATGCTCGATTAACGAACGATAACACACTGTGCGTGTAAACTCGAGCAGGAGTTTATAAGTTAAGTGGCATAGCACCAAATACCACAGCACACACTGGGCGCCCATTAACGTGACAGGTGATGTATTTATTCCGCTTCTGCATGTGGTCGGCAATATTATCTTCGATGTGCTTGCCTCTTCTTATCTTTCTCGATTATTTCTTTAATAATAAGCCAAAATACAAAGTAACAGAAATAGCGTGCGTGGAAAGTTCATCCTTTTCAAGTAGCGTAATATCGATTACCATTATTTCGTGCGTGATTATTCATCAATATGTTTATACATACGATTGATTCATTACTTAGACAATATTTTTGCTATTTCCTTTCTTTCTCCCTTTCTCGCATGATAATATTATCTATTGTAAATTTCACTCTTGGCAACCTCATTCATTCATACACGAACACATATCGCTCCAAACTTCATTCTCTCTCATACTTTTATGGAATGTTTTTTTTTATTTTTTTTTTATTTTTTATTTTTAAAAATTTTTTTTTTTTTTAATTACTATACAATATTGGAAGATAATCGCAATACATACGCGCTCGGAAATACGTATATTATCAATTTGTATAAAATCAATATATTCTTAACAATTGTACAAATTTTCATTTCGCCGCATGACAGTTGTCACATCTTCAGCACTGCATAAACTTTTTATATTGCTTTGCGTATAAAACGAAAAGAAAGATTGTTGTTATATATGCAGTATTATATATGTATTTCTCTAGTAGGCTGACATATTTTCGTGGCATATTTTGGCCTGGTTGAACGCATATATCTTCCAATGTTGGAAACACTCAAAGAAAGTCGATAGGATTTACCGCTATCTACGTTAGCCAACACTGCTACCTGTATCATCGTGTCTCTATTTGTGTTTTTGTGTTTGTGTTGTGTTTGCGTGGGCGGCAGTTGGGAGGTCATCGGCACGTTCCCCGGCTCCCAGAAACTATCCACCCCTTGGTACTCAACGCGCCTTCACTCTTCCAAACGCCGCTAGGCACTATCATTCGGTGAGTCCGAGAACTTTCCAATTCACCTACCGTTGATCTCAAGTCAAGTTCAAAATTAGCGTAAAAAAAAAGAAGAAAAAAAAAAAAAAAAAAAGAAAAAGGACAAAGAAAGAGAGGAGAGAAAATTCTCTTTCTGTTATCCTTACAATGCGGCAGTGTGCTGCGAGCAAATTTCATCGGTCTGAGATTCGTTTTTCAGCGTATTGAAACGGGGGAAAAAAGAACGAGACTTCTCAAGAGCAGTCGTCGCGTAATAAAGATCGAAAAGAAAAACGATTCGTTGACTTGTCTTCACGGGAGGAATGCTTTTTGTTCTCTTAAGCTTATTTGGAGAAGCGTACGTTGATCGTATTTTACATATACACACAGGTGTTGGCTTCTTCGTATATACATAATAAATATAATATATTCTATAATTACATATATATATATATATATTTTTATCTTTTTTCATTGTTACGTATTACCTTGCACAGTATTAAACGAGAAATAAATGCTTGCGCACTTCGAACATCGGATATATACGTTCCACCATTTTGCCGTGGGGATGCGTTATAAACAGATCGACAAACGAAAACTCGAACAATGAGGATATTTTTACACGATAGTTTTTAAATTTTCTTTTCTTTTTTTTAATTATTCCTCTTCTCTTTTATCTTTGACGATCTTCTCTTTCTTTCTCTCTTTATAAGAAAAAAGGAAAAAGGTTGTCAAAGATAAATCTGAATTCTCTAGTGTTCGTGAAATGAGATAAAACGTACGTAAAAACAAAAAAGAAGAGGATAAAATGAAATCTCTCGATGATTCGAATCTTGTACACGAGTGGGATCAAAACCACCTCCGTAATTATTTTATGCACAGAATGTGTGTTCTTTTTTCTTGTATTTTTTTGTACTTGGCGAACGTTGGGCATTCGTATGGGAATGAAAGATTTCCACTATTCCCGTTTACACTAATCAGTAATACTGTCGATTGACTGATTTGAAACCAGTTGTGAGCTCCCTTCGGCACATCCCGAAGCCAGGGTACGGTCTGGCACCGCGAAGTCACACCTTCTCCTCGACCGGCGGTTCTGTATCTGCTCTCCCTGTAAGTCTTGCACCGCGTCACAATCGACGACCAAAAAAAAAAAAAATTTTTTTACTTGCACCGTTGTTGCTGATTTTTACAAATATAAAGTAAAAAGAAAAAAAAAGAGAATGAATGAAAAAAAATATATATGTTGTAGAGATAATGATACACGTTTTAATTATCGTTCTTTTAATCCGTTGATTAATCACGAATGTCCATGTTTCGGTTGTATCTAAGATTTACGCTTTTTTGTCGTCTAGGGTGATTATTCGTTCAGTGGGATGGGAGACAAGACGCACAGCACTGATTTCTCATCTGGCAAATCAGATAGTGAGTAACCCAGAAAGGAACTGATCACACATAACATATACACATATGGTTACCTTGCAATTACATTTCATTCGTGCAGTATATCGAATTTTTTTGATATGCTTCTTTTTTTCTTTTCTTTCTTTTCTTTTCTTTTTTTTTTTTTTTNTTTTTTTATTTTTTTATTTTTTAATTTTTAATTTTCTTTTACTTTTTATTTTTTATTTT